TCTACGCGTTTTTCGCCGTTTTTTTAAAGGTTTTGTCTGTCTGGGTATCAATGAGTGTTGTTTTTGCAAACGTTTTTCTTGAAACTATAATCAGACACTAATATTTAATTCGGAGAAGTGAGAAATCTTTGTAGATAGTTATGCTTCAAAACAAGACTTGAAGTAAAGTATCTTATACAGTGCGTGTGACTTTGGTATATTTAAATATTTATATATTTTTTCACGTAGTTCATATCGTGCGACAGCCACATCCAAGGTGAGCTTGACAGAAAAAAAAACAATTTCTAGTTTTCTATGATCGATTATGCATCTTTTTAGCAAGATTCGATGTTACAATACAACACGATCGTGTGTGCTTTACACATCCATTAGCGTTATGCTTCTGATAACCGTGATGGTGGTACTTGCTATTATTCTTGGTCAAAAACTGTCTGGTAAGCCGCATAAATCTGATTGAAGCATCTATTAGACAGGATGGATGTGGTTGAGAGTGCGGGTGTGAGTGTGGCTGTGGGTAATGAATGTGAAGAATACCCACAACCACACCTACCCACACACACTTCCACTCATCCCACACCCTCACCCACACCCACGCACACCCTCAAGATGCTTTTTTGCCATAAAAGGCTAAACTATAAGTATTTTTAGAGTGTCTAAATCAGTTAATTCTGATTGATCTTTCTTAGTTTTTTTCATTTCTACGAAATGTCAGTTATCGAAGACTAGTAAAAATAAGGGCAAGTGTTATCGAATAATCTTACTTGACTTTGATTCGTAAGAACTAGTTGTTTCGTTTTTAAGCTGGTGCCAGCTAATTCCATTTCGATCAAGTCTCAAAATAATTTCAGTTTGTGGAGATTACGATCACATATTCGTCTAGCTCAAGAGGTACGAAATAATTCTATCATTTAACAACAAAAATTTCAGAATGGCGGCAATATTTCTTTTCGTTCACGCGTTGTGAATAGTGCATTTCAGATTTACGACCGATCATGATTATGCTTTTTAGCATTGTTGTTCTTATGATATTTGTCTATTAATACGTATTTTAAATTTTAGTTCCACCTTCTTGCAGTACTGCTTGTTGTGGTCGTGATACTCTTAGTGCTATGGTTGCTGGTTGTACTGCTTGTATTGATTATACGAATAAAGATGCTTCTGCTTATTGTGTTCGTACTGCTGACACTGTTTATATCCTCAAATCTACTTGTAGTAGTAATCATTATAGTGCTGGTGAATGTCGTCAGTGAAACTGAATATAGGTCGACTGGCGTTGTTGTGTACCAACAACAACAACAGCAATATGTAAAAACAATCAGAAACATTTATTATATAACAATTTTTCACGAAAATGAACTTTATTAGCAATTCGATCTTTTTAGAATAACTTGTACGTGAGCAACTTTTTTTTCTGTTCTTCTATTTTTCTACTAACTATCAAGAAGTAACTTTGTTTTATTGGTTATCATTTATTTGATTATATTCTTTCATTTCATTCTATATTCATTCTAATTGGAAACTAAAATAAAACCTTAAATTCATAAGTTAATACGTAATTGAATTAACTGCACAAGATGAACATAAGATTAATCAAAAATGGTAATAAAATACGAAATCAATAAGAATCTGTGATCATTCGACAGTGAAAATTGTCTTTATCGAATGTTGTACAGAGATTGTTATTAAATTTTTTTTTGCTTCTTCCATACTGTTAATAGTCGTATAGCACTTTCATGATAAATATACTTTCTCCGTAACATTGCGGCATACGTTTTTATTTTTATAGGTGATTCATAAAATAAAGTAAATCATAATTCTTTAATGTTATCTCGGCGATGTTTCTAATTGTTAATCACTAAATGAATCGATTGTTCAATAGATTGTCTTTACAAGTCATTATCATTGTCATTGATAAACACTTGAGTTAAATCTAGTCAGGGTTGCCAGATCAAAAGTTTATACATGGAATGTTTCTGTGAACCCTTGGAAAAACTGAGACGTTTTTTTTTGCAGTAGTTCGAAAAAAAATTAGAAGGCAGTTATTTATTATTTCAATACATTAACTGTCTTTTTTTTTATTACAATATGTTTGTTTCTACAAGAAAGACAGATGAAAAAGAAAAATGAAGCGAAAAGAAAGATCTAGATGCATGTCGAGGGCCAGTCCATAACATAGTGGATGACATAAATGAATTGATCACAGTTTTCATTTATGTTATATTAATTCGCCATCTTAAACACATACTTGTTTACCACGAATTATATTAATCGTTTCTTTCTTTTAAATGAATTTTACTGGGCCAATAATCGAGAAAAACTATGTTTTATCAACTAATACGGAACCAAATCATGTCATGATAAATATGGTAAGTGATAACGTTGTTATAAATACTACTAATAATAATACTTTTAATTTAGAAAAATGCATATGAAGCTGAAGAGAGATTATTATTGTATTTCTGTCACAATGATGAAGAACTTTTACCAGCAATAGATCAAGAAGGATTATTTACAATAGGATCATATTGTGATCATTTAAGAACTCTACAGCACAATCAAAATCCATTCAGAAATAATCGTCCACAACCAGCGTCAGAATATTAAAAACAAAAAAAATGTAAGAGTATATGGAGTGTGAGCTTTGTTCATATCTCACACTCACACCCGCATCCTCAAGATGGCCAAGACTGTCGTTGGGTAGTAGTAGTTTATGGCAAGAATTACGCCGTTGTACAGGCGTTTTATGTCATATAAGGCGACGTTTCAGATGGTCTCAATGATTGATCGGGGGTCCAGACCTTTGAGAGAATCTGATTTCATTTTAGCAATGACCAATGAAAGCAAAATAGCAATGATAAATCTCGTATGTGATAAATTTTTTAAAAATCGTAATAATAATAATAATTTTAATTTAAGTAAACAAGCATAGTTACGAATTAGAGCTGCTCATTGAAAAATGCGGAAACAACCTCGACAGATTAACAAAAAATGAATCTGACAGACTGGAATCTTTACACACATACTTGGATCACTTGCGTTTATTACACGCAAAACAAAATCCATTCGAACAAGCGAATGATGGTAATGGTGAGGCTCAGAATTATTAGCAAAAAATACAAAAAACAAAAAAAAGTAAGAATATATGGCTAATTGAATAAATCTTCTATTTTATTTTATTTTATTTTATTTTATTTAGAATTATATTCCGATTGTTAAACATGCTAATGAAACTTTATTAGGTTTAATTATCATTTGATTTGGTGGTCAAACGTCGAAAAAAAATATCGACAAGTAAAAATGTCGAAAATCCTATCATGAGGGTGGGTGTGCGTGCGGATATGAACATGTCCTGTTCCAGCTTATACCCACACCCACACTCTCAATATGTTGTTAGAAGAAGAAGAATAACATTTAATAATTGAACATCAACAACAGTCCAACACCAAAGCTCATCAGAAAATGGAATTAAACTATAGGCAGCAAGAATGTCCTGAATAAAGAAAACAGACTTGCTGTTTTGTATCGTTTGTCTAATATAGCAAAATTGAAAAACTTACTTTAGCAGAAGAACAATCATATGCAAGGTTGTTAAGAATCGATTATACATGAACACATTCATCAATTAATGTATCATCCTAATATATCTTGTCAATTACTAATGAAGCAAATCATATTATGTTAGATTTAGTATGTGATAATGTTTGAAAAATAGTAATAATAATAATAAATTGAATTTAGCTTAACGATTATCCATATGAAGTACAAGTTCTTATGGAAAAATGTGATCAAAACGAAATTCTGTTATCGAATGCTAACATAGAAAGGTTAATCGATATAAGAAGCATAATCCATTTAAGAACGACAATTGAACTGATCATATATTCAGTTTCCAAATATCTGAAGATCGAGGTACTCGTACAACAAACAAAAAGTAAGCATATATTTATTACGATACTCTTTATACATGAACAATACACTAATTTATTGCTTAATTAAATATGGTTGTTTCTTTCCAATGACGGTAATCATTAGATCTTTTTAAAACAAGATTTTTTTTACATTGATAAAATATGAAAGTCTACTATCTAGTTTAAAGATATAAATGTTACAATCAGTTGTCGATTATTAAAAATCTTTTATTTAATATTATATATAAACAATAGTATTGTATTTCTTCTAAAAGTAGATCTTCGTTTCATTGAAGATTAGATGTCATTTTTTTAAAAAGGATAGACAGCATATCAAGAAAAATTTTGACCAAATAAATGCCTCATACATGAATCGATAAATAGTATCCGAATTATTTTTATCAAAAAATAATAAGAAACAATCTTGTATTTGTATTATTGCCTGTGCACGTAGTTCATACATTTTTTTCTATCTATCGACATAATAAGTTCAATTGAATTAAATATATATATGACAATATACACACTAATAGAAAACTGAAAACTTGAGCAAAACTTTTTGTTTTGAAACATTTTCTCCATATCTCTATTTATCAAGATTTATCTTTTAGACATATTATTGACTGATAAATAAGACGCGTTAAATGAGAACTATTTCTGAGATTATAGTTGTAGATTAATAAAAGATACATGAAAGAAAAGGAGACGAGATGTGGAAGAAAGAGACTGTATTAGCTTGCCTTGATCTAGGTATAACGGTAAAAAACCAATGTATATGTATAAGCGTGGCAAGAAATAGAAATTGTGGCAGACGAATGTATTACATGATATCACTTAAATAAAGAAAAGATATATCTAATAATAACGAATGTAATATGTGATATCATGTAGTATAAGAGAGAGAAAAACAAGAATATAAAAGCGGTGGAAGAATTCGTTAGACCACTTTAAAATAAAATTTTATATTTGCTTTTCTACGAATTTTGTAAGTACTTTTTTTCTTTTCTTTTAGATGACTTTCATAGGACCGACGCATGAATTTGAAGCGATTTTGGCAATCAAAAATGTATCGAATGCTCCCCTCATAAATATAGTATGTGATAATTTTTTTTTAAATCATAACAATAATAATTTTAATTTAGATTAATACATATAGTCATGAGCAAGAAATCCTCATGAACAAATGTCGAAATAAACAAGATGAATTACCGAACAATAAAAAAGATCGACTAGAAGCAATAACGATATATATCGACCACCTCAAAACAATTTACAACAGGCATAATCCATTTAAAAACTCTAACGAAACATCAACATTTTGATCCCACACCCACACCCTCAACATGGAATAGAAACTGTGGCAGATGAATGTATTATATGATATCACTCAAACAAAGAAAAGATATATCTAACAACAACGAATGTAATATGTGATATCATGTGGTACAAGAGAGACAGAGATAAAGAAGGAAATAAAAGCAACTGTAGAGTTTGTTAGGCTACTTCGAAGTAAGATTTTATATTTACTTGTTTATTACGAATTTTCTCAATACTTTTTTTCTTTTAGATGACTTTTTTCGAACCAATAACCGAAAAACATTATATTTTATCAATTGATACGGAACTGAATCATGTCATGATAAATATGGTAAGTGATAATGTTGTTAAAAATCATAATAATAACACTAATTTTTATTTAGCAAAACGTTTATCAGAATGAATTAATAAACTTAATGGAAAAATGTCATGGCCTACTAAAACTTTTAACAGCAGATGAAAGAAGTCGGAGAAACTTAATATTATTATACATAGATCACATTAGATGTGTGCACAGTGGTCAAGACCATACTAGAACGGCCAATCAGATCGATCATGCATTGGATTATTAAATATAAAATTTAACAAAAAATAATAAAAAAGTAAGAATATATGGAGTGTGGGTGTGGCCCTGTTTATATCTTACAATCACACCCACGCCCTCAAGATGGCCAAGACCGTCGCTCGGTTTTTGTAGTTTACGGCAGGAATTACACCATTCTATAGGCATTTTAGGCTTTGTAAGGCGACATTTCAGATGGTTTGAATGATCGACCTGGGTGCAGATCTCTTGAAGAACGTGAATACATACTGTCAATTGACATTGAACCGAACGACGTCATGATAAATCTGGTATGTAATTTTTTTTAAATAGTAACTCTCTCTATTGTACTATACGATATCACATATTACATTGATTGTTGTTAGATATATCTTTTGTTTGTTTGAGTGATATTATGTAGTACAAGAGAAAGAGATGAAAAAGAAAAGAAACATCTAGATGCATGTCGAGGGGTAGTCCATAACATAATGGATGATATAAATTGATCACACTTTTCATTTATATCTTATTAGTTCACCATCTTAAACAGATAGTTGTCTATGACGAATAATATTAATAGTTTTTTATTTTCAATGGATTTTATCGGACCAATCACAGAAAAACATTTTGTGTCAGAAATTAATTTGGAACCAAACCATACAATCATAAATATGGTAAGTGATAACGTTGTTAAAAATCATCACAATAATACTACTTTTTATTTAGCAAAACGTTTATCAAAATGAATTAATAAACTTAATGGAAAAATGTCATGGCCTACTAAAATTTTTAACAGTAGATGAAAGAAGACGAAGAGAAACGGTCCTGTTCTACATAGATCACATAAGAGCTGTTCAAAAGAAAACACAATCATATTAAAATAAACAGCCAGGATGGTCACATCTCATATCCATGCCCACACCATGTAGATGACCGAAACCGTCGCTCGATTTTAGTTGTTTACGGCAGGAATTATGCCGTTGTATAGGCATGTTATGCCATAAAAGGCGACGTTTCAGATGGTTTGAATGATTGATCTAGGCTCAGACGTTTGAGAGGATCTGAATTTATTCTATCAATAAAGAATCAACCAAATTATATAACGATAAATTTGGTATATGATAATTTTTCTAAAAATCGTAATAATAACAATAATTTCAATTTAGATCAATCAATATATACACGAGCTTGATCAATTAATGAACAAATGTAAGGAAGATGACGAAAAGTTAACAAAAAAAGAAAGTGAAAGAGTAGCAGCCCTCCTGGATGTTTTGGATCATCTGCGCACCGTGTATCAAAACAATAATCCATTCGGAATAAGAAATGATGATGGAGGTGAGAGTATGGCTTATTAGAAAAAAATACAAAAAAAATAGTAGGTATGTATTTTTGTTAGATAATGTGTTATTGGTTTTTCTCTTTGTCTTTATCTGTATTACTTATTTTCTCTTTTGTTTATCCACATCTCTATCATTGTTATCGATTTCTTTGTTTCTTTTGTTTTTTTTTCATAATAAAACTTGCGATTGACATCATCTTGGCATGTGATATATTCCGTTAAAAGAGACTCACGAGAAATAATTTGATTTATTTATTTTTATCTAATCAAGAAGATGAGTTTGTATCTTTCTAGCTTTCGATTAAAGTCTTCACGTAATTTACGGAGAAAGAGTTTTTCTAATTGATCATTTACGTCTCTAGAATGAAAAAAGATTTTTATGAAATCGAATAAATATTGGACTAAACAAGAATTGTTCATTGATTAACAGTAACAGAACGTAAATGTCAAATAGAAAATATGTTTATTTCTTAATAAATATTCTATATTGTTGAACTTTTATTATGTAATTTCTTAAGATATCGAGATGGAAAACAAAAGAATTTTATTGCTGTAGTTGTATGCATTTAAGCTTTTCTTCAAATAAAAAAAACCTGTCAAAGTTGTTGAAAATATTTTGACATATAATACATTCAGCCAATATAGCACTGCGCTTAAGAAAAAGACAAAAATGCATTGGACAAGATAAATAAATATCTTCTCTTATGAAATTGTAGATAGACTTTAGTTTTATTTGTAAAAGAATATAAATAATAATCTATTTTCTTCTAATTGTCTCCATTCCCATAGCTGTTTTAAATGTATCATAAATCCACCATTGATTGTCGGATAATGTTCCAATCATTAGGATTCAAGTAGCAAGACCTTTTGTACAAAGATGATGTGGGCGCGGGTATGCATGCATATGTGGCTGCCGTCTCCCTTCAGCACTCATATTTAAATCCACACTACAGTGAATATTTAATATAGAGTTTATTCTGAATAAAAAACAGTTAATTTTTTCAAAACAACAAGAAAAGCTTTTATTAAACATAGAACATATAATTTTTGTTGCATCTCTAGCGCAAAGTTATAATGTAAACAAAAAAGTCTTTATTTCTATTTGTTCATTTGTTAAACACCTACTGTTCTATCTGAAGATAATCGATTATTTTTATTAGTTAAATACCAAGCAACTGTTTGTTTATGAATATATTTTTCTTTTCCATTGGGTGTGGGTGTAGGTGGAAACAAAATCCTGGTATTTCATTAGAATTTTTAAATGGATTGTGCTTTTTGTAAATTGTTCTTAGGTAATCAATGTATGTCGTTATTGCTTCTAGTCGCTCTCTCTCATTATTCGATATTTCATCTTCTTTATTTCGACATTTGTTTATCAGCAGGTTCTGCTTGTAGCTGTACTTATTTATCCAAATTAAAATTATTGTTATTATTATCATTTTAAACAAAATTATCACTTACGATATTAATCATTACGACATTGGGTTCGTCCTTAATCGATACGATGTATACACCTTCGTTTTCCGGTAGAGAAAAAGTCATTTAAAAGTAAAAAAAGCGATTAATAGATTTCATGATAAATAAGTATGTGTTTAAGATGGTGAATTCACTTATATCATCCATTATGTTATGGACTAGCCCCCGACATGCATCTAGATCTTTGTTTCCCTTTCCTCTCTCTCTTGTACTATACGATATCACATATTACATTGATTGTTGTTAGATATATCTTTTCTTTGTTTGAGTGATAATATGTAGTACAAGAGAAAGAGATGAAAAAGAAAATAAAAGGAAAATGAAGCGAAAAGAAAGATCAAGATGCATGTCGAGGGGTAGTCCATAACATAATCGATGCTATAAATAATTGATCGCACTTTTCGTTTATATCTACATAGTTCACCAACTTAAACACATACTTATTTATTATAAAATCTACTAATCGCTTTTTTTGTCTTTTAGATGACACGTTTCGGTCCACCAAATGAAGGTATATATATTCTTTCGATCAAAGAAGCACCTGAAACCAATGCCCAATTAATTAATTTTGTAAGTGATAATTTTCTTAAAAATAACAAGAATAAGAATAATAATTTAAATTTAGATCAATCAATATGAACACGAATTGAATTTATTAATGGAAAAATGTGGGAAAGATACTGAAAAGTTATGTAAAAATGAGAAAAATAGAGTCGAAGCGGTCCTGATATTTCTCGATCATCTGCGCACCATCTATCAGCAGAACAATCCATTTGGAATTAAAAATGGTGGTGGTGGTGGTGAAAGTGAAGCTTTAAAAAAAAATAAAAAAAAAAATAAAAAACGAAAAAAAAGTAAGTATATATATATATATTAATGAATAATACATTAAACAAAAATTTATTTTTATAAGAATATGTTTGTAAATACTTCTCCAGTTATATTAGTTAGTTGATATCTCTGTGGTTTTTCTTTTGTTCACATGTGTCTATGTTTTTTCTCTAGTTGTTTCTTATTTGTTTTTTATCTTTTTATTTTTTCTCTATTTTCTTATGTACTGTAAGGACCTTCTGGTCGTCAGTTTATGCGTAAATAAATAAAAAAAACTTTTGCATTATTATTTGATATTGTTATTGAAGCATCAAAAATGGTGAATATAAATATCATCGTATGATTTTATTGTCTATTTTGATATATAGGTTCCAAGTGCATATGATCTTGTTGATCAAACTTATGATAGATGGATGAGAATTGATCGAAATAATATCACAAATGAACCAAAGTAAATCAAAAAATTAACTTATCATCACAATTATAAAATTGTATTTATATAGTATCAACTATGGCCTTGCAACGGGTAGTGACTATTTCGGTTTTGTTCAATTGGTTCGTTCATCAAATATAAATGCAAGATATACATTCGATCCAGCTATTCATGGAAATACAGGTTCATATCCACTTTATCATACATCATATGAAGTCTTTTCGATGATGAAAAAATTTATTGATCCAGATTCTACAGTAAAATTTTTTCGAATATATATATTTACGTTTAATATTTAATGATTTATTATTTAGGCACATAGAACAATGGGACAGTTTATGGGTGTTTTAATGTTACTTTTATCAGAAACACCTGTTCTTCAATTAAATGTTACACGTTATACATCTGCTCTTAGACAAGCAATGAATAATCTTAAAATAAATGATTCTACAATTCTTAGTATAGACTGATTGTTTTTTTGTATTGTAATAAAATAATTGAAATTCTTTTTTGTTAGATCCACTTCGAAGTGCTATTGATGATTTTGATAAAACTGCTCAAGATTTTGTTCGGCGATCCAAATCGATGGATACAGAAAAGTATGTTTATTATTATGAAGATGAAAATAAAAATAAAATTATTTTTTTAATTTTTATAGTCCATATATAATTCGTGCATATAATGATCAATTATTACAATTAGAACGTGCATTTCTAAATCCATTAGGACAAGATAGTGACCACACTGATTTTAAGTACATAGTCACATTTTCTTAATAAAATTTATTCTCTCATTTCTATTTAAGACATGTCGTTTATGCTCCATCTAAAACTAATCAATATGGTGTAGTTGGTTTTCCTACTGTTCTAGATGCAATTGCTAGTGATAACAAAACAGAAATCAATAATCAAATAGCCATAGCTACTTTCTTTGTACGTGGTGCTTCATCCACACTAAAAGAATTTGATAATTTTTGCTCGTAATTACTTTTTTGTCTTCGCATCACATTATTGATGTTTTTTAAATTTTTATTAATTATTGTATAGATTAAATAGTATGTTGTATTGCCTGTTACAATAAATAATAAAAATTTTCAGAACGAAAGTATATCTTATTTTCATTCTTATATATAAGAATGGTACAAAATTCAGTTAATAAAAATAAAATGTAAATTATTGTTTTAGTTAATATGGATAATTAATTGAGTATTTATCTCTCCTCCTCCTGACACTATTGATCATATGAAATGAAGAAGTGTAAAATGAATATATTGTATAGATTAATAACCTGAGTATTACATTATTTTTTATCATATATATAAGAATTCTTTTTTACCTGTTAACGTCAATAATGATTTTTCAAAGTATCTGTATTTTTATCCGATCATGTAATGTTATTTATTTATTCATATACAACTATAATCATTAATATTTATTGTAAATAGGTATCCTGTCAATACGAGTAATATATACGATGTATTTCTGATTGATGTAATATCTTCCAGAAGTATATGTGTATTTAATCTATCTTTAATTTTTGAGATATATCAGTAATTTATGACGTCTTCTAGTATCACTGCATTTCATTTGTTGCTACTCCTGAATTTTTCAATTTTCTCTATAATTGTAATAAGAAGAAAAATCTATACCTTATCTGCGCATATAAATGATAAAGTTTCATCGTTCTTTTACGGCTTTAAAAAAATCTGCCTTGTCATTCGCACATGAAAATCGTAGACAAAGAAATCCGAAACGAAAGAGCACGAATAAAGATAAAAATAAATCATACAAAAGCTCTTTAATTCTTCACTCAAAGACCAACGACATTTAATTTTATTCATTGTCAGTTATAAACATTGTGATATTCATTGAGTAATAAAACTAGAAAACAATATTTAAAAAAAAAGATTTATAGCGCTTTTTAACTATGATTACGAAGGTAAGATTTCATCGGATTATCTAAATTGATATTGATCTTTAATTTCCCTTAGTTTATACTAATCGGGGCCGGTGTTGCAGTAGCCATTGCATTCGGTCTTGGTATCATTATTGGTCATTTTGCGATAAAAAAGACAACAAGTAGTACAACAGGAAAGTATGACTATCTCACACGTGACGCAGATCAACAAAATTATCAAACTTTTATTTCTTCTATGCAATCAACAAATATTGAAGCGAATCTCAAGTAAAATTAACTATATTTTCATGAATTCAACAACAAATATTCTATACCCTTCATCATTATCTATAGATCTTACTTCACGACCACATTTGGCTGGTCTACTCGAAGACTTAGCTAGTGCTGTTGTCATAGAACAACGATGAATAAAGGATGGACTACAAGTTACTAAACCAAAATATAATGTTCTTCTTTCTTATCCAGATGAGAACAACCCAAATCGGTATTTCAACAAGAACAAATACAACATTTATTTATTTTTTATTTCCATTTAGAGTCACTCTTACTAATGGTTCTGGTAGTATTATTATTCAAACAAGTGGTACTGAACAGGTCTATGATACAACACAACCAAAAAAAGTTAATCTATTTCTTGCATATACACCTAATGGTACTGTTTCAAGTGTAAGTGAAAAATAAATATCATCAATTGGTTGATTTTTCTGATATATTATGATAGACTAAGTTATATTATGGTAACTATGGTCAACTTGAAGATATTCAACGTTTGGCATCGATTGTTGGAAATGCTAGTTTACAAGGTAGTATTATTATTATGAGATATGGTAAAATATTTCGAGGAGATAAAGTATGTTATTGATTTGGCAATCTCATAAATATGTGTATAAATTGTTTTTATTCATATTAAGATAATGCATGCTCAATATTATGGAGCAGTTGGTGCAATATTGTATAATGATCCAATTGATTATGCTCCATATGGAACATCAGCAGATCAAGTATATGATCAAAAATGGTATATGCCACCAAGTGGTACACAACTAGGAACTACATATACTTCGAATGGTGATCCTTTGACACCTATTTATCCTTCGACAGGTTTGATACTATGATAATACTTCTATTCATATATTTAGTATTTGTTTACATTTCATAGAGTATATGTACAGAATAGATGAAGAAGAAGTGAGCGCTATACCGAAAATTCCTGCTCAAGCGATTGGTTACAGTGAAGCACAAGTGATACTTCAGTAATAAGAGACGTTTTATTGTTCTTTTTGAATGAATGAATGAGCGAATATAATAATACATTTAGATATTTACAAGGTGATAATGTACCAACATACTGGAGTGGGACATTGCCAAGTGTAGTTTATCGTTATGGTGGAATACTTCGAAATTTAGCGTAAGATATGCGGATCTTTTTGTAATTGTATAAAAATGATTTAATTTTTATTTATAGTAAAATAGAAGTCTGAACTATCTTGAGGGTGTGGCGTATGGGTGTGGATCATATACACTCCACCCATACTCTCGTCCACACCTATACTCAATACCCAGGCCCACTCCCATATTCTCACTCTCACCAATACTCTTTTCCACACCCTCATACACACACACTTCCACACTCTCACCCACATCCACATCTACACCCAATTTTCGTCGCAAATGATTTCGTACGACGAAGAAGTAGTAAATAAAATTCATCGGTTATTTTTCATTTTATTATATTAGAATTTTAAAGGTGACAAGAAAAAAGGAGGAAGACAGTTTGAAGAGAATAAGCTAGCTTCGATATGTTGTCGGAGGCTACTAAAAAGGTACGTAAAGGTGAAGGTGTGTGGTATAGTTAGGATTCATAGCCAGATCTTACTTATACATCCGAATTCCGATCTACGTCAATGGCCACTCTAACTATTATTCCAAAATCATTAAAGAGGTTTTTCTAGGTTTCTTTCTTTCACAAATTGAGTAATCTGTTGTCGTAAATCAATACTTTCCTTTAAATTTCTATGCTCAGTTGATAATTGTGTCTTTTGTATTTTGAGTGCCTTTTCACACAAAACTTGAGCTTCACTGATTATGGTTCCAACCGCAGCATTATCGATCTTATCATCGTTGTTACTTTGAATGTCAACAGATTTCAGAAGACAGTTGGCGAGGTGATATCTTGTGCGTGCCGTATCAGGATGTTCAGATGGTAATATACTTTCACGTAAGCTTACCGCTAAGCGATATGACTTGATTGCTTCTTCATAATATTCCAAAAGGCTGTATGTACTACCAAGGATCTGCAATAACAACGAGCGTGTACGTTCGTCCATGTTTGGTTTATCTTTGATTTCCTTAAGGTTGCTTTGCACTACTTGTAGACTTTGCTCAAGCTCTGTTTTGGATATCGCTGTATTACGAGCCTGTTGTACGCGAATACGCGCAATGGCGATAACGGCTGTAAACACACATTTTTCTAGGTCATCCTTTGTCGAATAAGAATAGTTTTCGGGCATTTGTTCTAATTCACTCTGAATCTCTTCTATTTTTTTAACAAACTTGTCTGCTTCTTCGTCAGAATTTGTATTGAGTTGTTCGCAAATAAGCTGCATGAGTTTTGAGCGAAACATTGAAATTAATAATTGTGACTCTTTCATTGATATATTGTAGTTATTTGAATGCGTACGTTGAAGTATATCGTCAAATATAGTTTTGGCTTTCGCGAATAATGTGCTCGCTTCGGAATACATACGCGTCTCATGAAGATAAAATGAGCCTAAGCGATATAGCAAGTCGCCAAGTAATAGCGCATATTTCTCTTTTCCTGTCCAATCCACAGTGTATTTTATTATCGCTGTTGCATGATCGAGATAATGAACGATCCTCTGTTCAAATTTAGAGCGGTTAACCTGATTGAAAGAATAGTAATCATAAGCGAAACCTTCATTAATTAGTTGCAGTGCGTATTTCCATACAACATCCGTATTGTCTGCAAGCGGTGATCTGCGTAGTTCTTTGATGTATGAACTTGGTACACTATAAATTTCTACATAGTCCAACGGCACATAATGTTGACTAACATGTCTGTGAATAATCGGTACTAACAGATTTTGCTTTAATATGCAATACGACTTTAGTATTGACAGTAAATTTTGCCAAGTCAAGTCCCAATTCGTAGTACGAAGTTGATAGTGTTTATCTTTAGCTAGAATGGTATAAAGACGATAAAATGTTTCACGACTTATACCACCAGCCTGAATCAAACTGGCGACTTGAGCACAAATAAAAAAAGGTCTGTTATGTTGTTCCAGTTTCTTCAAGAATAACAGGATTAAGTATAACAGTCTGTCACTATTTCCCAGTTGTTCAACATCGTTTAATACATCAGCGTTAATCCATTCAGACGTGACAAGAGAAACAGTCAAACGAATAGTTAATCGACGTACATCGACAGATACAATCTTATCAATAAGATTTTGCCATTTCTCTTTCTGTTCAAATTCAATCTTCTCAGGTATCTTGCTAATTATCCATTTTTTTGCCTTATCGACATCAATTTGTTGCGGAATTAAGTAATGCCAGCGCTGATTAGTTTCATTAACTATTTCATTAACTACCGGTTGTGCTTGCTCTCCTAATGATAGTTCATCAATGTTATCATATGTATATAATGCCACAATATGGCATCGTCTTTGGCGGCGCGGGATACAACTAACAACGTTGTCAAGGATGGATAAAAATTCATGACATTTGAACCGACCATATGAAACCACTATTTTCGTATCTTTCGTGTTATCCGCTGTATGAGCTATTATCTCAGAAGCACTCTCACCAGTAAATTCTTGGATGTTATCAACTACTAGTAAAATATTTTGAACTGTTAAAGATTTAAGCACTGCCTCAAGTACAACCGTTTGTAGCTCTGTCGTGGAAAGCTCGAAAGAGGAGACATGGAATTTATGAGCTAAGAAAAGAAGCGTGCCTTTCAGTGAATCGTTGCAATCAAACCACCATATGAGATCGTAGCAATTGCGAACATCGTGAATGAGATCAAATAAAACTGCCGTTTTACCTGATCCACGTGACGCTGCGATAATTAGTTTTCTGTAAGAATCCATAAAATCTATTGGATCCGTATCCTCCGATCTCACCAGTCCTAGATGTTGTTTGAGTTCTGTGAGGAGGATTTTATCGACGGGCAAATCACCGACATTATCTTCTATGGTCTTTTTGTCATACTTCATTTGAGCACAACTAACATTGGTTATTAATTGTACGTCTAATTCTGAGAAGTGTTGCAACCAAAGGCGAGCAATTCTCATTTCTTCTTCATTGGTCAACGTGCTAATACCGGCATTATACCTGTTTAGAACAGCCATTTGTTGCAGATTAAGCGCGCAGACTATCATGGCAGCTTGCACAGAACGAATGGATTCACCAAGCACAGCACGATAAGAAAAGTTTACGGCGTTACCATCACATAATAGTATGACGTCAATCAATTCTCCATTCAGACGTTTCAATTGATAGCGAGAAAAGCTACGAGCATCCGCGCTGCTATTTTTACATTTATGATGTTCCAAGCCGTCATGTACATCTAATTCGTCATCCGCTGAAGTACATGAAGCGATTATTAGACGTTTAGTATCCGTACTAATATTGAGTAGATCGTTGTATGTAAGTGCTTTGTTGCCAGTAGCGCAGAAGATAAACGATGCTTGTTGCAACATTTGCTCTTTAGTGCATATGACAAAATCATATGAGCTTGCTCGAAGTAAAATCTCCGGATTAACATCGTATACAATTACCGTGCCAATATGCTGCTGTCGCAAATGCATGGCAATGCTACTGCCGATCTTACCGAAACCAAGCACGCCAATGACACGATGATCTTCTAAGCGCAGGTCCAACGACTGTCGAAGGATACTATCGGCAGCACGTACCAGAGATTTACCAACATTGTAATCTTCTGTCATCTTCATACGACTTCGAGCTACAGAAAATATATTCGGTTGTTTGAAAGTCGACCCTTCTATCGATCGAAGATTTTCTATGGCATGGTGATATTTTTGATGTCCATTTTCTGTGTCCTCCACAATACCTAGTAACTTGAATTTGCGCTTAAGTTTATCTGGTTTAGCCAACACCGATAGACAAGGAGCGAAGTAACCGCCAATATCCATAATTAGTATTTCTTCTTCTTCGCCTTTGATAGCATCCGATAAGAGGTCAATAACCTTCTTTTCCACTTTTAAATCATTCTTGGTAATGTTTTTCACAGCATCACCAAAAACTGGATGATCTTTAACCCACTGAGCCATTTCTTCCATGTGATCGGGCCGCTTACCTGCGGCTGCACCTTTAAATAGGATAACTTTTATTATACCAATTTCTCGTAACGTATCTAAGTATGCGGGCAAAGTAGGTAGTAGATGTACGACAGCTATTAAATTCAAGCTTTTCAACTTCTTCGGGCTTGGTATGTATTCTACCGAAGAAGTTGCTACTCTTTTTCGGGATCCTGTATAAAATGGCTGCTCTCCCGATTCAAAGACTGGTGGGCTAAGCTTTTGATCAATCCATTCATTTGGTGCAGGTGAAAAAGTGTTACATATGGCTTTGAAGAAGTTTTTCACGCGTCCTGCAGTTAGGCCAGTACCTTCAGTAATCTCTTTAAACGTTGACATTTTGTAGAAAGAAGCAGCTTATAACTGTATACGGATCTGAAATAGATTTAGTACGAGTACAATCGAAGTAAAGGTTTCTGCAGAAAAGCGGGACTCTGTAGGTGTGGGTGAATTTATAGTGTACTGGTCTTTTCTTCACTCGTGTCTCATACACATTCACATCCATCCACCTCCACCGTATCTTAAGAAAAAGAAGCCATGGGCCCAAATCTTTTTGAGGTTACGCCTGCATAGAGATACCCTCGATATGTTGAAAATATGGACAATAAAGCGATGAGTTACTTCGAACAGTTCCCTGGTTAGTCTGGGGTGTACGTGTGGGTATGAATAAATCAGAATACCCATACCCTCAAGAAAATTAATCTCACAAGTTGTTAGCTTTGGTTGCTGATCCTAAATCAATAATGGAAAGTCAATGGATAACTTAACTTTTAATATAAATATGAAATTTCATTTTGTAATAGTTGCATATGCGTCCAATTAAGTTATTTATAATTTAGAATGAGGCTACGATGATTGAAGACGTGATTAGTTGTAGAGAGGCAAAAATACTCACGAGGAAACCTCTCGAAGTGATAAAAAGCTTTTGGACTCAGACTACTTTTATCTAGTAGACCCTAATGAGTAGTGAAATATTCTAAGTTGATTGATCCCCTTATTGCTTTGGGAGTGAGTTATGGCAAATTCACTATTTTTTTGACGTATGACAGTATATGAGTAACAGTAGCAAATGAGTGACTTTAGATCCGAAACTTTATCCATAAAGAGGTCTTCTGAGTGCTAAAATATCCTGAAAATATCACGCAAAACGAGTGAACCTTTCTTGAGATAATGGATTCTCAAAAATCGACTATTTGTTTCACGCACTGAAGGTTTATCTTAAAAAAACAGGTGTATTTTGATCACTCACAACCTCAAGAAGGAATCACTCGTTTTGCGTGATATTTTCAGGATATTTTAGCACTCAGAAGACCTCTTTATGGATAAAGTTTCAGATCTAAAGTCACTCATTTGCTACTGTTACTTATATACTGTCATACGTCAAAAAAATAGTGAATTTGCATAACTCACTCTCAAAGCAATAAGGGGATCAATCAACTTAGAGTATTTCACTACTCATTAGGGTCTACTAGATAAAAGTAGTCTGAGTCCAAAAGCTTTTTATCACCTCGAGAGGTTCCCTCGTTAGATAAAAAGTGCTCGATTTTACTGTGAGAAAAGTGTAAGTATGAGCTCCTTCTATACTCAGCATCTATACCTTCATCCTCAACATGATTTTACGAAATTTATTTCTCTTCCGATTGACTCTCGACATCTTTATCCAAAAATCTTCCATAGTTTTTAAAGTTGTATTTATAATTATGAAGATACATCTGCTTCGTGCGGAAAAAAATCTCCTTATTTACATTATATTTGACGGTAATACTGTATTGCTTATATTTATGAAATATAGAAAAAAGAAGTATATTGGAAAGATGGAAGAGAAAATATTACGAAGTAAAAATTTTCTTTTGTTGATCAAACGGAATAGATATGTGCGCATATATAATATAGTTCATGAAATATAGGCATCGATAAAGGAATAGACGAGAGAAAAAACGAAGAAATGAGTAGAACAGCAAAACAAAGTCAATATCTTTTTAATCTCAATCTACCATTATAATGAAATATATATATATAATTAGAAATCGAATTATTCGTGTTATAGACTGTAGCGAAGAAAAGATTACCGTTCTGTTTTCTACTTTCTATTCGTTAGTTATAATTGTGTATGATACGATGTAAAGAAGTTTGCACATTCTTGCTACATTTCTACTATTGAAGACTATCTGTTAGATAGGGATGTGCTTCTCTTTCTCTCTCATATATTGTTTTTATTCTATTCTATTTGTTCTTGATGTTTTCCCTAATATATGTGATGAAAGTTTTCTTTTCTGTGACACATATATATATATATATATATACATATATATTGATATATGCGTGGAATTTTTCATTGTGTTCTCTTTTCTCTTATCAAGGTTTCACAGGGAATGTTTCCGTCTCGCTCGTCATCACTTAGGGAAGATTCTATATGTGTGAAGAAATAAAAGAAAACGTAAGGAAAAAACCCTCACATATATAAATATATGTATTATAGGAAAAGAAAAGTCCATCATCTATATCATAAGGGAAAACACCAAGAACAAATGAAACAGAATAAAAACACTATATGAGAGAGAGAAAGAAAACACATCTCTATCTAACACTATCCAAGACGAAATAAGATAATAAAGTGAAAAATAACCAATGGGAGAATATCAATTATAATGCAACGGATACTTAGAAGCAAAAAGAAAATGGCAAAGAAAGAAAAGAAAAGGCCAAATCTAACGTCGTCGTTTGTTGTTGTAGATAGAGATGATATATATTTTAGTTATCCCTTCTATAAAATAATCAAATAAGAACTTTTTCATATAGACACAGAAGACGAGATAAAAGAAAAAACAAGTTCTTCAAATAAGAATAGACGACATGTTCCGTTTTGTCGATTATTTTCTGCTACCGCTGTTCTTGGTTCTTATATTTCTAAGAAATATATGCATTCTATTATCTTAATTGTAATGGATTATCTCTATAAATTAAAAAATTGATTAAGAAAGATATTACATATGTTTTGATTCTGGTATACAATACTTAAGTCTTCTATGCTCACAAAGCGAAAAAGAGTGATATTTTGAGAAAAAGAAAAAGTCTGTATTACCATCTTTTGACGCTCTATAACTTTCATCTCTTAGTTGCAGAACATTGTATTTATGTGAACAGCAGATGGTGCATATATAAGATAAATAATTTAGTAAATGTTATAAAGAATTTCGTGTTATGCCCTCGGGCATACTTTGCGTTTTTTAAAATACATTAGACGATGAGAAAATGGAACAGAGAAAGAATAAATTACTCATGTGAAAAAAATCACATTTTTCAGCGTTAAAAGATGGTAATACTTGACGGTGTGGGTGAGTGTAAATGGAGAAGAGACACCCGCACCCACACTCATACTGACACACCCCGCTTCTGAATTAAGTGAAATAGACTCAATCTCTGCACATGACACGAAGACAATATTTATTTCTATTCTGTTTCATAGTTCAAAATATTGTTCACATAATAAACTACAAATAATCAATAAATTTAAAATTTTATTCATAAGTCAACTTTAAATTCTTTTCTTAAGACAATCGAAACAAATAATTCAAAATCAACTATTATATAAAAAGTTTTGTACTTATGTCTGTATCTATTAAAGTTTGCTATTCGTCCAGTGAAAAATTGTCAAGTTATACCTGATTATGTATAATTATAATCGAATTTTTGTGCAACAAAATCAGGATTATAATCGATTGAAATCTTTCAAATCAACAATAATTCGATTTTTAATCAAAAACTAATCTTCTAAATCAAATATAATTTTAATTAAAATCATGTAGTTCCGATTAAAAATAAAGTAAATCAAGTTTGCATGATTTTAATCAAAATTATATTTGATTTAGAAGATTAGTTTTTGATTAAAAATTGAATTATTGTTAATTTGAAAGATTTCAATCGATTATAATCATACATAATCAGGTATAATTTGATAATTTTTCACTGGGTTCATACAGTAATTAAATTAATAAAAACCATTGTGAATATTGATACTAATATTATATATAGATAGATTTAAGAATCATTTTCATTTCATCAACTACTATATTTCCATTCTTTTTTATTTATACATAAAATATTACAAGTGAATAAAGAAATTTTATTTACAACAAAGGAAAATAATTTCGGAAGTTTTCTTGATATGTCTTTGGTTCTTGATTAAAGAAAATATGTTTCACTTTTAAACAATTTGCACGAGCAGCATCTTCTGTAAAATACTGTGTTGCAAACAACAAAAGTTCATACTCAACATGTAACGTGTTAAGACTAGTTAAACGTGTATAGAAGTCGAAAAGAAATTGCTCGACATAATCAAGAGAAGATCCACTGAGATCAAGTATCGTAAGATGAGGAAATTCAATAATTGATGATATTTGTTCATATCCATCTTGTTGATATGTTATCTTCTTATTTTGAGCAAATATATTATGTATTTCCAGCTTATTTAATAATGGAAAAGCTCGAGAAATTTGAGCAAAAATTCATGTTCGAATGGACGCCAAATAAGACGTGCAGCGAAGTGACGAACATTCACGAATACACAACCATCAGGAAATTTATTAGTAAACATATGCATGCATTCCAAATTAAATGGAAGTGAGTAAATATGGCATTGAGCATTGCTGATTGTACAATAATCAGTATAACAGTCAGCATTATATCCTTTTTCGATCAGTGGACATAGAATATTATCACGAGTTGGTAAAAATTCTTCATCTATTATGACTTTGTTGGTAATAATATTGAAGATAAATGTATGAAGATGTGACATTTTACTAAGAATATCATTAACTAGATGATGGCCATCAATGCATGAGTTTCGACGATCAACAATCAAAGATAATGTAGGTTTTTCTAATTTTGACATATGACGAAGCAATGGAACAATTTTAGTATCATATTCGATTGTTTCACGAAATGAAATTAACGAGAAACATTTTAAATTAGACACAATTTCCTAAAAATAAAGTAATTAAAAAGACTTCATCAAAAATATAAGTGTGTTTGTACTGTGCCAAGTGATAAAGGTACTTCCTTGTCATTTAAAATAATCTTACCGTGTTATTGAGAGCCATCGATGTTCTTCTAATCCAATCAATTTCCACAATAAGTGTATGTAATTGACTAAGATGTCCATTAAGTAAACAAATACAATCATTCAAATTGTTAAGCCTAACATTTAAACAGGTAACATTTGATGCATAACATAGTCTAGATGGCAAATAAATAAATACGTTTGGTGAATAATAAAAATGACCATTTTAACTGAAATTAAATTGTATCAAATTCATAAACATTCGAAAAATATTAGTAAAAACATTTTTGAATAATTCCCGTGTATGTTCAGCTATGTCGTCTATGTTAATCGTAACAATAAGATGCGTAATTTGATGACTGATAATGTAAACCAATGATGACTCATCTAAAATAATCGAATTATTATTTCTCTTATTTAAAGTTTAAGAAAATAGATAACATACCATTGAAAATATGACATGCCATTTCAATTGGAAGATTAACAAGACTTAGTTTATGAAGTTTCGAATAATTTCCAATACGAAGAATACGATCTACTGATAATGAATTAAGAGTAAAATATTCGATATTGTGTTGAATTCGTTGTAAAATTAAAAGACAGAATCTATCGAGTATTGAATTATGATGTTCATTTGATAATGTTGTTACTAAATTGATAGACTGTGTAAAAGTAATATCTCGAGCTAATCTGTCAAGTTTTTTATTGACTCCTATGCATGAATATAATACATCCAGATTATTAAGTTTGTTTAAAATGTTGAGCAAGATTTCGTCGCATAGATCAACGATATTAAGAGTTGAATTGCTCATGTTGAGTAGTCAATGATAAATATGCTGAACACAACCGTTTATGCATATATGTATGTTCATTCTATTTCATATCTGACGTCGTCAGCAAAGACTATATAAAATAGTTCGACGATGAATATTGTAACCTTTTCAACATAGGTAAAGTCTTTCATAGATAAATGAATCTAATTTAAATAGTAGTTATTAACAGGGTGTGGGTGTGGTTGCATCTACTTTATCCTCACCCACACCCAAGATAACTGAATTATGATCAGATTTTTCTTAAGAGAAGAATGAAATAATTCGATTATTTTAAAAGAAACTTCTAAATAGTGCAACATATAACTTTATTTTAATATTTATAATTGTTCTTCGTATGTATCACGAATAGTAAACGAATCAGTACTGTTATGACGTGAAATTTGTTCATGATTCGTTGATGAAAATTCTTCTTTGATATTATTAGGAAGACCATTTTTATGTAATTTACAATGCCTACAAACAAACATATTAATTTATTCAACTTTGTTTGCTCAAATAAATCAAACCAGATATCTTTTGCATATTCTTCAATAGTTCGATCTGATGAAAATTTTGCTGCTGCTCCAATATTATGAATACATTTTGAGTGCCATAATTGTGAATTCAGAAAATCTCTTGATACTTCATCTTGTTTATTAATATAGGCTTGATAATCACCCAGTACCATCCAATGATCTCCATCACGTAATAATGTATCAATAATATCATGAAATCGTGATCGATCATCCGGTGAAAAATATCCATCACGTATTTGATCAATTGCAAGACGTAATTCTTCATTCTTTAAACTTTCATATGGATCATAACCTTGTTGTCGTCGTTGTTGAACTTGTTCAACAGTGAATCCAAATGTATACATATTTTCAGCTCCACATTCTTCTAGCATTTCAATATTAGCTCCATCTAATGTTCCTATTGTTAATGCACCATTAAGCATAACTTAAAAAAAATATAAGAAGAAATTTATTTTATGTGTTAAAATCTTTTAAATTTACATTTCATATTGCCTGTACCACTTGCTTCTGTACCAGCTAGAGAGATTTGTTCGGAAAGATCAGCAGCTGGAATAATATATTCTGCTGCTGTTACACGATAATTTTTAACAAATAATAATTTTAATTGATTGCCAATATGTGTATCATTATTGATTACATCTGCAACATCATTAATTAATTTAATAATTTTCTTAGCAACTGCATAACCTATCAAATAGATAAATTTATTAGAATAAAAAAACAATTCAATGATTTAAACCAGGTGCAGCTTTGCCACCAATGATAATAGTTCGTGGTACAACTTTACTATTTTTCTTCAATCGATTGTAGAGTGTAATAACTTTAAGAAAATTATAAAAAGGTTATTTTTCAATTAAATTTACCATGAAGTAAACAAAGTAATGCTCGTTTATATTCATGAATACGCTTTATTTGTACATCAAATATTGATTGAATATTAATTTCAATATTATATTCATTTTCGAGCATATGAGCTAATCGTAATTTATTTTTCATCTTGAAAAACAAAACATATATGTATTAAACCTTATTTGTTTCCTTTTCTAAACGAATACTTTAATTTGTTGAATACGTAGAAGAATATTTTTATTTAAAGCATATTGACGGAAAATCTGAAGTGATTGATAATCATTTCGAATAAAATCTTCACCAATACATTCCATAATTAATAAAAATAGATCGGGATTACAAAGTGCAAGCCATCGACGAAAAGTAATACCATTTGTTTTATTTTGAAATTTCAACGGTGTTAATTCATAAAAATCTTTAAACATAAATTCACGTAAAAGTTTTGAATGTATTTGTGCAACACCATTAATAGTATGAGAACCAATTATAGATAAATAAGCCATATTAACAAGTTGAATAGATCCTTCTTCAATAATTGACATACGTCGAATACGATCATTATCAGATGGAAAATGATTTCGTATATTTTGTAAATGTCGTGCATTGATTTCATAGATTATTTGTAAATGACGTGGAAGAAGTTCTAAAAGAAAAAAACTTCGTATCATGAGTTATTCATTAACAACAAACTTTCAATCATTTGAACTGGCCATCGTTCAATTGCTTCTGGCATTAATGTATGATTTGTATAAGCAAAACAATTAACTGTTATAGACCATGCATCATCCCATGATAGATGTTCATTATCAAGAAGAAGACGCATTAATTCAGGTATAGCTAATGATGGATGTGTATCATTTAATTGAATAGCTACCTAGTAGAATATTTAAATAAGAAATAAAATGAGTTCGTTTTTGCTTACCATTTCAGGCATGCATTTGAAATCAATAGATGTATGTGATTGTTTTCCTGGTACTTGTAAATTAGATGTTGTTTGCCAACGTTTTTCACCTTTAAATCGACGTAAAATATCATGTAAACTAGCTGCAATTAAGAAATATTCTTGTTTTAAACGTAATTCACGTCCTTCAGCAATATTATCATTTGGATAAAGTACACATGTAATACCTATTTTTATAATTATTGATTGAGAAAAAAATAAAATAAAAGATTTTACGTTCAGCTTTATTACGTTCCATAACTGCAGATATATATTCACCTTCATTAAATGATTTAAAATTAAAATCACAATCAGCTTTAGCTGAAAATAGACGCATTGTATTGACAATCTACATAGAAAAAAATCATAGAGAATAAAAAGAAATGAATATTTTCTCACATTATTTTTATAACCAGGTACCGGATAATCATAAGCTTGAGCAATTACTGTTTCATAATCAGTCCATTCATAACTTTTAGTTGATTCATTCCAAATAACTTTGCCATAAAAATGTATAGGAATTTCATTTTGATTTCGTCGAATCTATTTCAATTTATTTAATTAAATTATATGAATAATAAGAATAATTTACTTCCCAAGGCATTGAATGTCGAAGCCAATCATCTGGTACTTCAACTTGCCAACTAAATTCTCGAAAAATTATTATATAAATCAAAAGAATTCATATTTACCCATCGATAATCTGTTGTTTAAATATTCCAAATTGATATCTCAAACCATATCCATATGATGAAATACCCAATGTAGCCATTGAATCAAGAAAACAAGCAGCTAAACGACCAAGACCACCATTACCTAAAGCTGCATCATCTTCAAGTTCTTCGATATCATTTAATTTTATATTAAGAGCTTCAGCTGCTTGTATCATTTGTTCATTAATATCAAGATTAATCAATGTATTTTTCATATATCGTCCAATATAAAACTCTAAACTTAAAATAAATCATCGTTTGATTATAATATATCAACAGAAAATCTACCTAAGATAATAAACTCGTTTACCACCTATCATTTGATAAAATTGTTGTGTACGTATCCAGTTTTTAGCAAGAATATCTAAATACAAATAGAGCGTATTCTTTTCATGCGATCATATTAATTAATTTAACCTCTTAAAGCTTGTGATAATGCTAAATAATATTCTTGATAACTTGAATGAAATCGATCAACCATTAATGTTAAATGTAAATGTCGATTAAAATTGTCCACAAGACTATAATTTAGATTTGTCTCTTTTATATGTCAATTAAGATAATTTACTTGAGGATTGTTTCAATATTTTTTATTTGATGCAATGAAACTCGTAAATTTTGTGCTTCTTTTTGACGATGAAGTTCTTCTTCTTCATCAGTTGGTACATAACGAACTGATACAAAAGAACTACGTGAACGTCGTTTCTGACCTCCACCGACACTCATCAAAATAACAGAAACAAAAAAAAATATAATAATTTGCGCACTTTTTTTTATATCTGTATATAATATATTTCGTATAGCTTAATTTCGTAACAAAATAAAAAAGGAAAAGAGAAAAGAAAAACAAATATTGAATTAATAGAAAAATACAAGCAAGAATAAATGTAAAACAGTAACAGATCTATCGTTCCACAAGAGATTGTAACCACTCGATGTGCGTTGATACATTAGTCATAGCTGAATATGCTTTTTGAAAACCTGTTTTTGACATAACGCCAGCAAGTTGCCAATGAGTATTATTATCAAATAACATTGCACCTGCTCCAGAATCACCCTTTCAAAGAAAAAAACAAATATTTAACATTCATTCATTAACAATAATTTACCACGCCTAATACACTGGAATTATTCGTAGTGATTGCACAGAAAGCATCTTCAGCAATATCATTTAATTGTCGTTGACATTCAGCTTGATATTGATGATTATCAAGTACACGAATATTTAATTGTTGTTGAATAGAATCATCGTCTGTATGACTATATGAAACAACTTTTAATATATTTTGATCGTGAACATTAACAATAGTTGGTAAACAAATCCAATCAAGCTTTGATGAACGTTCAATACGTTTAGTTAATTTAATTAAAGCAATATCATTTTTAACAGTAGCATGTTCTGTATCAAGAGTTTGATAATCTGAATGCTAAAAATAGATTATAAATCTCTTATTTATATTCCATAAGAAAATATATTTAAATACAAACTAATGTGAAATTTGCAATTGAATATGATTGACTTTGAAGAAAATCTGTACTGTTCAAACTAAGATTATGTACACCTATACGTATATCAAATATATCTTTAAATAAACTCGGTTCACTTGTTAATTCCCATTGTCTAATATAAATTAATAGAGAAAAAAGTGAAAATTAAAAATAATATCATTTGAAATATACTTTCGAAAATGTTGTTCATCAAGACAATGTGCTGCAGTTATAATATTCCAACTAGAAACAAGAGAAGCTGAACAAACATAACGTGGTTCACTATTATAATAATCTGATTTAATTAATAAAGCAGCAATCCATGGAAACTGTCCTGTTTCAACGGATTGACCATTAATCATACGTGTTCTTCGAACATGATTATTAACTAAAACAAAAATAATGTCATATTTTTTTGAATTCTTTATATTCGGTCACCCTTTTTCAATTTATTTTTTTTTATTGATTTTTTAA